CGCAGATCCCAGCTTCCCCCAGCTGCCTCTGACCCCCCAAGAGCTCCGCCCCCGCGCACCCCTGGGGGCTGTGCTACGCCGGGGCGAGGGGAATCACAGCAGGGCCCCATGTGGACAGGAGCCTGCGGGAATCCTAAGGAAATTCAGCTTCCATAGCGCCCTGAACTGGGCACGGATCTAGGGCAGCTCCCACCCCTCTAGTGCCCTCAGCTGGGCACGGATCTAGGGCAGCTCCCACCCCTCTAGTGCCCTCAGCTGGGCACGGATCTAGGGCAGCTCCCACCCCTCTAGTGCCCTCAGCTGGGCACGGATCTAGGGCAGCTCCCACCCCTCTAGTGCCCTCAGCTGGGCACGGATCTAGGGCAGCTCCCACCCCTCTAGTGCCCTGAGCTGGGCACGGATCTAGGGCAGCTCCCACCCCTCTAGTGCCCTCAGCTGGGCACGGATCTAGGGCAGCTCCCACCCCTCTAGTGCCCTCAGCTGGGCACGGATCTAGGGCAGCTCCCACCCCTCTAGTGCCCTCAGCTGGGCACGGATCTAGGGCAGCTCCCACCCCTCTAGTGCCCTCAGCTGGGCACGGATCTAGGGCAGCTCCCACCCCTCTAGTGCCCTCAGCTGGGCACGGATCTAGGGCAGCTCCCACCCCTCTAGTGCCCTCAGCTGGGCACGGATCTAGGGCAGCTCCCACCCCTCTAGTGCCCTGAGCTGGGCACGGATCTAGGGCAGCTCCCACCCCTCTAGTGCCCTCAGCTGGGCACGGATCTAGGGCAGCTCCCACCCCTCTAGTGCCCTGAGCTGGGCACGGATCTAGGGCAGCTCCCACCCCTCTAGTGCCCTCAGCTGGGCACGGATCTAGGGCAGCTCCCACCCCTCTAGTGCCCTGAGCTGGGCACGGATCTAGGGCAGCTCCCACCCCTCTAGTGCCCTCAGCTGGGCACGGATCTAGGGCAGCTCCCACCCCTCTAGTGCCCTGAGCTGGGCACGGATCTAGGGCAGCTCCCACCCCTCTAGTGCCCTCAGCTGGGCACGGATCTAGGGCAGCTCCCACCCCTCTAGTGCCCTGAGCTGGGCACGGATCTAGGGCAGCTCCCACCCCTCTAGTGCCCTCAGCTGGGCACGGATCTAGGGCAGCTCCCACCCCTCTAGTGCCCTGAGCTGGGCACGGATCTAGGGCAGCTCCCACCCCTCTAGTGCCCTCAGCTGGGCACGGAGGCAGCTCCCACCCCTCCAGCGCCCACAGCTGGCTTGGATCTAGTCCAGCTCCCACCCCTGTAATGCCGTGAGCTGAGCTTTGTTCTCCACACAAAACAAATTCCCAGCTAACTCCTTCCGGAAGCCAGTGGGGCGCATTGTGCAGCCCACACCCAACCAGCAGGGTGGGGTGTCTACCCCCCACACTGCCCTCTGCCTGCTGCCTGTGCCCCAGGGGAGGATCCAAGACCCCCCGGGCTCCACGGCTGTTCGGAGGGCCCTGCGGGCCCGGTACTAGAGGAGGGGGCTGTGTTACAGCCCGTGGCTGGGATCCTTGGAAATCCCGACTGTTATCCCTCCGCAGGCCAGCAGGGGGCGCACTAAGCTAAGGAACATGCCAGCTGGCTGCGCAGGGGTTTCAGCAGGGCTGCCCCACAGCGCCCCCCAGGGGCCATCAGCAGGGAACGTGGTTGCGCAGCTACCTGCCTGGCCTCGCTGTCTCCCTCTGCGGAGCCCCCCATGTGCCCTGCAGGCCCTGGGAGACACGACTGTGCAACGTGTAACCCTGGGGGCAGAAAGCCTGGATTGGGGCAGGGAATGGACTGGAGACGCGCCTGCCACCGTCAGAGCCCCCTGGACCGTGCCCAACCGGGGCTAACGCAAACAGCATGGCCCGATGAAGGCTGCCCCAGTCACTCTTCTTGGCCATGCAGAGCCCCCAGAGTATTCCAGGGGATCTTTGATCTGGAAATATTGGCCGTGGGCAGGGGCACTGAGGGGAGCAAGGCATGCTGGGAATTGGAGTCCCAGTGTACACCTCCAGACAAAGCAAGCAAGGCATGCTGGGACTTGGAGTCCCAGGGCTTCCCTCCAGGCAAAGTGGAGCATGGCATGCTGGGACTTGGAGTCCCAGTGCGCCCCTCTGGGCACAGTGGAGCAAGGCATGCTGGGACTTGGAGCCCCAGTGCGCCCCTCTGGGCACAGTGGAGCAAGGCATGCTGGGACTTGGAGCCCCAGTGCGCCCCTCTGGGCACAGTGGAGCAAGGCATGCTGGGACTTGGAGCCCCAGTGCGCCCCTCTGGGCACAGTGGAGCAAGGCATGCTGGGACTTGGAGCCCCAGTGCGCCCCTCTGGGCACAGTGGAGCAAGGCATGCTGGGACTTGGAGCCCCAGTGCGCCCCTCTGGGCACAGTGGAGCAAGGCATGCTGGGACTTGGAGCCCCAGTGCGCCCCTCTGGCTAGTGCTGGGGCATGTGCAGAGAGCCAGGGGCCTGGAGGGAGCCAGGAGCCCCATTCTGGCTCTCACCTCGCCCTCGGCTTTGCTGTTTTCCCTGATGACTTTGATCCAGGCCAGCATGTCGTCCCGATCCTCTGCCTGAAAGAGATATTCACAGAAGTCAGCGGTCGTCAGCCGGAAGACGTGCTTCCTCTTGGTCTCGCTGTAGGAGATGTCCACCAGGCTCGCTCGGACGCTGATCGGCTGCTCCTCCTCACCTGGGGGCGGCGCGTAGGTCACGGCCTCCCGCCTGTCCTTGCACAGGGACCACGAGGGGGCGGGGGGGACGGGGAAGGCGCGCTT